AAGATTAACATTCAAATTCATTACAAATGAAAGGCACAGGTGGGAAACTAACTTGAATCAGTAGATACCAGCTACTGTAGCTTACCATCACGAATTCTGCGGTCTGATTGGCTAACAGACCCATGTCTACTTTGTCACCTATCTATTTTGTGATAGATACTGTAGAGTAGTGAGCAGGAATTTTTCTTGAACTATGGACTCACAGAAAACTCAAACTTAGTACTGAGAGCTGCAAGTTGTCTGTTTTAGGGCAGTCCGTAAGATGCTGAACAATTCCCAAAAAGTCACTCAAAAGTTGCCCCCAAGATGCCAAAATTTTACATTGCTTTTCATATTTTCTACAAATTAACCTACAAAAGAACCCTTTTTCAAACCACTGTGGCTGCTGATCTCTCTAGGGACATTTGCAAAACTCTTTGGGGTCACTCGAGTGTATAAGTAATCTGCCATTTTGAATTCATTTAACCACCGCTGACCACTTGAATCGCCTTTTCAAATCATAGGCAAACTAATGCAGATTTGCCGCCATCAAGTTGGCAGCAAATCTTTAGAAAGCTTCTTTGATTTACATCACGGATGGTATTTCTTAGCATAGAAATTTCTTACTATTGCGGTGTCATTTAAAGATATCAAATGAGGAATACAATGTCTGAATAAAGCTTTCCTTCTAATAAGCCACAATCAGTAGCTGCTTGAGAAAATTAAATGCTTGTTAGTCAAGCTTGCTTAAGCAGAGCGAGACTCTAAAAATGCAACCCTTTTTTTTTTCATGTGTCCATGCCAAATGGTCATCATGGTCCCAGGCATTCCTAGCGGAGACCGTGGAAACTGGGGATAAGTATCTTGGTGTGACGAAAAGCCACACATGCAAAAGCTTTAATAGGGAAGATTAATCTGAAAGATGTAGAGCTTTTCCAGGAGGGGTCGGTCCACAAATTCTATCACTTGAAAGCGTTGTTTACTTTGGAAAATGTGAATACTTCAGTGGTCGAAAAAAAGAAGAATTTTCAATGAGCAAAACTTTGATGGTAAGGCTATGTAAACTTTCATTGTATGCAAATAAGTCTTGTCACGAACATGTGGTTTATTTTCGCCAATGACTGAAATGACGCGCCATGTTGATCCTGTTTTGCTGAAAACGATTTTAAAGTAAATACCCAGAAGATTGCTCGACCACCAATAAAAAAGTGCACGAAAAACATACAGCAAGGAAATCCTTTTTTGTGTAGGAAGAAGAGGCGAAGAGTTCAAAAGCAGGTGAATTTAACATTCCCGTGAATTGAGGAATTGATTTTTTGTGGCAGATTCACTTTGTTGTATGTATTTAATTGATAGATTTCCACAGTTGTTACAGCAGTATCCACTAACATGCCCCCTCAAAGAGTTTTTTTCTTCTGTTCAAACCTGCCTTTTGGTGGGCGTCAGTCAACCGTTACCATGGTTTTTCACTCATTGGTCTAGAGAAGATTCTTTCCCCGTTTCTCGAGCTCTTGAAAGAATATGTCGGTGTTTAAGCCTTTTTTGCAATATTTTGCTTTGGGATCTGACACCACTTCATGTCAAGATTATGAGGAATACAATGTGTGAGTGTTTGTCAAAGGAAACTCAAATTATCAACATATTTACACACTGTAAGTTACAACCACATATTACGCTTTCTCAATAAACGCTTGCAATTTGTCTGAGTTCTTGCTAGTTCTGGATTCTATTCAATAACATGAAGAATGATAAGTAGATCTGCACGTTACAAAGTTAATTTTCAAAAACAGCCTCTATTATGAGAAAACTTTTTCCCTTTTCGGTGTGATATCTTTCATTTCTTTGAATTTATACTTCTTGGTAATTCGTCCATGACTTCTGCGTTTTCATACAATCAAATAAATAAACAACCTGAAAACCTTTACGTAAACTATGGAGGAAGTTTTGGCTATTTCACTTAGTGAATGTAATCCCTCATCTTATGAAACAATCAAAAATGCCGTCATCATTCCAACCCATTCTTGTAAGTCTTCGCTCTTCATTCAGCGATGAGAAAACCTCCTCTGTCAGAGAGCGTGAAAAACCATGGAAACAAGTGATTGACATCCACGTAAACTCAGGTTAAACAGAGAGAAAAAAAACCCTCCGAGGGCGTGTGTTTGTGGTAACCGCTGTAAGATGTGAGGTCATGTTGCACTTTATAAATACTTGAGATATCAATGACTTAACCTTAAACTATTTATCACGTATGTGTCACGGATGCGTTTATATGGGTAGCTATGTACTTGACTGTCACACACTCTACTTGCAGCACTTCATGTCTATACAATAGCAAGCGAGCGAGCTTGTCCGGAATGGGTCGTCCACGAATTCTATTGCTTGAAAGCGTTGATTACTTTGGAACAAGTGATTACTTCAGTGGTCAAAAAAAAGAACAACTTAGCTGAGCAAAACTTTGATGGTGAAGCTAACTGGTCAGTTGTTGTAAACTTTCATTGTATGCAAATGGATCTAGTGATGAGCATGCGGTTTATTTTTGGTGACACAAATCATGGAAAATGATATAAAAAGTAAATATCCTGAAGAATACTCGACCATCAATAAAGCAAGAACTGAAAAACTTTTAGCGAGGAAATCCTATTTCCTGTAGAATTAATTGCCTCCTAGATTGAGAGCAGTCTCTTATTTTTCTTTTGAGTCACAGTAGGTCGAGAGCATAATTTTACCTTTTCGCTTGGCGCGTGTGGCTCTGAGGAAAGAAGAATGACCGCTTGTGGTCTAATCGCCTCCTCATTTCCAATTATCTTATCTCCAAGCAAGCCAGACTCAACACTACTAAGAGCATTTTTGTTAGAGTTAAAAGACCACATAGTTTTCTGTACCAAACCTGAGGTTTCTGTGGAGTAGGAAAAGTGGCACTGAACTCATTATATTTTTCTTTTGTAAAAACTAATTTTCATAGTCCTCACCATTCCTTGGTAAAAAGAAAATACACTTGAACCAAGGTAAATTTTGATGCAAATTATGCATAACAAATTTTATATTCTTTTTTTTTCTCTTGGTGATGCAATGTTCTAGCTGGTAATTTGGCCTTAATAATAATTATTAAAATAGTGAATTAACTTCCATCTCTTTTTTTGGAGAGATTTGTATTTCACTAAATGTAAAGTATGTGGACCTTTCTTCAGAGGTAGGCTGACTTGCAATTCCTTTTTCTTTTCAAGCTTAACTGATCGGGCCATTCAATATATTTTAGCACCAGTTGTATAGCTTTTCATCTGCCTTTTTGTTGGCTTTTTTTAGCTTAGTTTGTTTTCTTTTCACTTGGGTTTGTTCTTTGCTGGTCTAGATCGCAAATTTAACCTGTCTAGGGATGAATTCATTTCATTATTGAATCTAAGCTGCCACTGATGGCCCCGGTATGCAATTTCCCAGTCGGAGGCACAGCTAGCTTTAATAATCTCTTACAACTTTCTTAACACCAGAAATACAAAAATCTGTGAACCTTTGGCTACCTTTTGTTTTTAGTTTTCTATTTCAAACATTAATCTCTGCACCAATTAATCATATTGCCCATATTTTACTTTCCTTGTCAAGACTGGGTGGGAGGGTTATCAATTTTTCTTTTGGTCAAGAGTGGCGGTTGTCAAAAATTGCTGTATGATATGTGGGGGATATTAAAAAATTTTGCCCCTTTAAAAAATATCCTCTGCCTCCCCCCCCTTCCCCCTTGCCCCCTGCAGTGTACATGATGATTGCAGCCTAATCATTTTTATTATGCATACATGTTGCCATGTTTTAACTCTACTCATATAAACTATTTGTGTTATATGGTATGGGATTGCCATAATAGATATATGGGGCTGTACGGAAATCTTACCACATTCTCAAAACGTATTGATTTTTCAGTAGTCACTTTGTACTGCACAATCAACAACAGGACATGTGATGAAAGTCTGGCACTACTTTACATCGTTAGCATACAAGGACACTGAGGAAAACGCATCATGATACATCTACATCTACATCTACTTTATTACTCTTCAACGTTTTACACATCAAGAAGAGTTAAGAAATAAAAATATAAATATAATCTAAAAAATTAAAATAAAATATATAATTAGGAAATTGCTATACTTAAAACAAAACTAAAAGTAATTTTGCTCTGCAAAGTGCTCTGCTGCGCTCTGCAGGTTTCAGGTATTAAACAGTTTCAGTCCCTCACAGTTCTCGGAAAGAAACTATACTTATACGCTTTAAAATTTTAAATTCAGCTTTTTTTATGAATTAATGGCAAATCATCACCACATACCTTTGAGATATAGCTGAAAAAACTCCGAAAAATAGCCATGCCTGAAGCCTACCTCCGCCATGTTGGAAATTGTGATTCACAATTTGTATCCAGGTCCTTGTGGTTACCCGCGGCTTGCTCCATTACGACTAACATTACGACTGGGAAGCAGAAGGAAGTGGGAAACTGCGGTTCTTCCTTTGCACCTTAATACCTGGAACCAACCATTGCTTGTGAAGAAATCGCAGGGTTGGTATGTCTCGAACGATTTGGTGTTTCTTGAAACAAAAGACTCCCTTACTATTTGAAACCTTTTTCAGAAGTCAGAAGCACAGGTCTACGTTTTCATCACAGGCAGCCTGACCTTGGTATGAAAGTTTGGTATCATATTGCGTAATGGCGCGTAATCCTCAAAATGGCCGTGAACATACAGAATTTGTATGGGAATTCGGGTAATAACTTCAAGAAGAAAACACTTGCTGGAATTTTCAATAAAAAACACTTCACCTTTACGACCTTCACCGAAATTTATCGGAGCAGGGATCAAATGCTTTCCGAATTGGATTTACATTTTGATAGCTTTACAATCAGAGTTGCAAGTTCTGAAACTATGTACTGTAACCATTTTCACTTTTAAAAAATGTTTGTCAAGCATACGTATCCCCCAATTCCAAATTCCAAATTCTTAGACGTTAGTACCCAGGCCAACCGCGTTGTTTAGATCACTGTCGTCAAACTGAAAATTACGTCGAATGGCTACAGGAGATACCAGACAAAACGACTGGGTCGATTACTGCTTCAAAGTCATCATTATCGGCGATTACAAGGTCGGAAAGACATCATTATTATGTAGATACACTGGGCGTGAGCCACCTAGCGATGATTGCACAATGACATTGGATTTTCGTGCGAAAACTGTTAAGAGGAAAGGAAAGCGAGTGAAGCTGCAGATCTGGGACATAGCTGGGCAAGAGAGATTTCGTACGGCTGTCGCTAGTTACTATCGCGGGGCTCTTGGAGTTCTTCTGGTGTACGATGTAACAAACAGGCAGTCTTTTCAAAATATTGGATACTGGTAAATAAGATTTAGATGAAGAAAACTTCCTTAAGTATGTTTCGATCCAAAATCGTCAGCCTTTTGGTTTCGAAGGAATATGTTACGTACTAAGTACTTCCGGAAATGATTCCTGCCGTTCGATTTAAATACCTTTGACTACTATCATGAGCCAACTAATGGAGAACTTTCTACGTAACTGATTTCTGTTTAGCCATAGCGATATTGCTTTTGTTTGTTCGTCTGCCAGGGTAGCTGGGAATATTGGTTTTCAATTTTACTATAAACTGGACTCTTGCCAAAGAAATCTCGAGGCCTACCGTTTAGTTGTTTGAAAACTTTTAGCCCCCTTTACAAAACTGTTCTAGAATTAACCGGCCAAAATATAGGCAGCCCATTTATTTGCACTTCATTAAGTGTTTGCCCTCTGGCTAGTTTGTGTCAGTTGTGCCGTGTGTTAGTGAACTAACGATAAACAATCGTCAGTTTTCATTGAAAAGGAATTAAGGCCTGTTTCAAACGTCGTGCTACTGCCGTGCTAAGCTGGCTCGACTGCAGCACGCCTAGCACGACTTGGTTTCAGACGTCGAATTTAATTCAGTCGAATAGAACGGCTTGTTGCCGAAAACAAAACACAAAAATGAAGAAACGGTTTAGCAAACTTTTAAATGTATTCTAATGTATTTATAATTTATGAATTAAGTTCAGCATGGCAGTAGCGCGACGTTTGAAAAAAAGTCGAGCTACTGCCGTGCTACACGATAGTAGCACGAATTTGTTTCAAACGACGCGCTACTGCCATGCTAAAGTCGAATTTAATTCGATCAATTTAGTTCGGCACGGCAGTAGTACAAAGTTTGAAACCGGCCTTTTTAAGTATCAAGAGAAAGATGAGAAGGAACCCTTCTAGCATGAGTATCAGGCCTCAATGGCCTTCCTAAGGGACTAGAGGAGAGGAGATTCCGCGCCCCCGCCTCCTCCTCCGCTTGTCAGTCAGTTATCATTTTAATAAGGTCACACTGGAAAACATATTATGTTAAGCTGATTTATTGTTTGGTTTCCAGGCATGAAGAAATGAAAAGATTCTGCGATCCCGATGCCCAAGGAATCCTTGTAGGCAACCGATGTAAATCACACTTGAGGGATGTGCAACCTGAGGAGGGACGTCAACTGGCTGAACACCTTCAAGTTCCCTTTTGTGAAATAAGCACTGCAAAAAATATTAATATCAAGGAGTGTTTTGATGAACTAGTGGACTGTCTTCTTGATGATATAGAAAGAATGCAACAAATGCGAGAACTAACAACATTGGTGTTACCGGCTAGTGGAGAAGAAGTCAGATCCACGGACGCGTGTTCATGCGCTTTACTGTGATAAAAACAATGCAAGTTACCCACTTACTGTTGACTGTGTATATATTTCTATATAATGGTTAGGATATTTTAAAGAAGAGTTGGATGGTTCAACTCATGGCGATTTTCGTTTCGTTTTGTCTATCTTACGTTATCGTGACACTGGTTTGAAGATCTCGCAAATTTAAGAGTCTTCTTTGAGCAAGAAAAGGAAGAAATCAAAGAAAACCTGTATCTTTTCATGAGGAGAGAAAATTGGGAACCCAAATTGCCACTTACCGTCGGGCGCTTTTCCTGTTATCATAAACAAAATAAATATATTTTGTTTTGTCACGCGTTTGCATACTTTTTTGTTATTTTTATTGTTTTCGGATGTCAAAATGTCGCAGAAACATCAGAGATCAACCGTTGGCTGAGGCTCTCCTGACTCCTGGTCAACCGTTATAAATTCTCTCGAAATTCTTGTCTTTTTTGCAACGTTCGTCAAAAAGGTGGGGAAAGGGGAAATCCGAGATAGCTAGCAAAAAACCAAATAGACTGAAGAGTTCGAGTCATGTCTTACGAACAACGACTTTGATCATGATGATGGTGTAAAATGTAATGGTGACGATAGTACCGTTGTGGCAGTCGAACCTTTACTACTCCCTTGCGGATGGTACAACCCGAGAGGGACGGCTCTCCTCAGTGAAAAAGGCGCCGGTGGGAATGACCGTCATACTCACTTACAGTTGTAAATAACAGATTTTCGTCTCACATGGGATGTTCAGGAAAGATTTTTACGCATACCAGCATCGCTTTGGGTTGTACGTAACGAATAGAAGATACCACATATACTACTTGCAACTCCTGAATACAGCTAACCAAATCTCCACCCGACAGGTCTCGTAAGATTCACGAGTTTGTTTTTAACTCGCCCACCCCAGCCATGAGGAAAGTCCAGTTTAAGCAAGCATTCCCACCCCCCCCCCCCCCCCCACAAAACAACCCACCTCGTTGATCATATTTTCTTGTATTTTTTTCTTCCTTCTGACTTTTATTTTCAGTGTGGTTGTGACAAAAAGGAAATAGAAGAGAGACGCGCACGCCGCCCCGATCGTGCGTTCTCTGTTCGTTATACACCAACACCTGCTTGCAACTCCCTGATCACGCTAACCAAATCCCCCCCCCGCAGGTCTCGGAAAGTTCACGGGGTTTTTTTTACCCCCCCCCCCCCCGCCCCGGGGAAAGTCCAGGTTAAGCCAACCTTCCCCCCCCCCCCCCCCCAATCAGAATAAGCACTCTTTGGTATGCTTATATCTGGAGTTATTCTTCGCTCTCACAAGTTTCATGTGGATGGCGTTCGAAAAGAAAGAGTCAAGGGGAATTCAGTCACGCGTGCGCACTTTACGTGTTCGCGTTTAGCGAGCCGGACGCCTGCCACGCTAGGCTCGATTTTCGTCGGGGGAGGCGCCCGGGTTCATTTCCAAAACAGCGGCTGGTAATCGAGCCTACTGCCAGGCAGGCCAATACCTTGGCCAAGGCCAACACCTCAGTCAGATCTCCAACGGAAGATATTTGGCCCCCTTTACCAACCCCCATTGCTACCCAGAGCTTGAAGGCAACAGTTGTGTAATCAACGAGATGAAATTGCATATCAGAAATCATCAGCTTGTAATGCTTAATGTTAACAGGAGATCAAATTTCAATAGAACCTTATATTTCGCGGCTCTTTTCTTTTTGGGGCAGGGTTTCATTGCTAACTTTGTTGGCTTACTATTTCCGCAACCACATCCTGCGAGGGATTGTTACAACTGGGAAACGACGCACCTCAAACAATGACTAAAACCAGAAAGTGCTGTAGGCTGCGTGGTAGCCTGCAATCAGGCCTTTAGAGTGCATGATCGCAGGCAACTCCGTTCCCAAGGTCCTCTTCTACTCGGCTTCCGCGGCGAGAAAGAGCCGCGAGGGCCAAGGCCGAGTAGGAAGGGACCCTGGGGACGAGATTGAACCGCAGGCTGGTTGTGTGGTAGAGATAGGAGGCAGGTTTGTGTCAGAGAGCAAGCTCAGATACAACCTTAGACAAATTACAACTTGTAACATTTGGATAAAACAGTAAAGTTTTTATTTTTTAAATAATTCAAGTACCAATAATAATAACAATAGGTTGAATTCATAAAAACAATATCTATTTTCAGTTAAATCGCCTTTATCTTTATCACCATCATGATTCTAATTTGTACAAGTTTTGTTACAATGAATGACCCAGGCTTTTATTGAAATCACTGACAACTTTCGACTCCAGCGTCACTGGAATCTGGAGAATATCGTCTACATAGAATAACTAGCAAACACCCAAACAAAGTTTCAATTCCTTTTGAGTGCGATGTTCCTAGTTCATGAAAGCTACAGATACCTCCCCCAAAGAAGGTTTTGTGGTTTATGCTCTTACCCCCGCCATCACTAAATCCTTTTTTACCCCTTCATTTAAGTATTTTGAATCAAGGACCCTCCCCCTCCCCTCCCCTTCATCCAGGCTCAGAATGACCTTCCATGGGGGATAGTGTGGGCATTTCCTAGAACTACACAATGATCATAGTTCACTATGGCGTTTTACTTCTGCTTAAAGTTTTTCATATTGATAGGCTTCATTAGTTCACCAAAGAGAAGATAAGTCTTAAAGAACACCACCTTTCACTCCTCTGACAGCATACTTCTGAGCAAATAAAATAATACTCAAGCACTTGATCCTTCCAAATAATCACTGATTGCCTTTAGAATGACTCAGGCTTAAATAGAAGTCAGCACTGTTGACAGCTGGCCTTGGCAATACTACTTGCCTGTGAACTGCTTTTTGGCATTCACACAATAAACCAAAAAAAATCATCACAATGGAAAAGCTTTCCGGCTTTTTTACTTAATATCTTCATATCCTCGAACCTGTGACGCTCTTCCAAAGGTTTCCTTCACCAGATGACACGTGAATCAATTGATCCAGCATACACTGTAAAAGTCACCTTTGCAATAAATCAAGAAGCAATAAAAAGTGATCCTAACTATAAATCTCGGGGCATAAGCTCCAATCTTTTCTTTCTTTAGCCTCCCAGTAGCCACCTTTGTAGACATGTATAGACGAATCACTCAGTTCGTCCACAACATTCTCAAACCACACCGGCTTGTATCCTTCATAAACTTTCCCTTCTTTCTCTGCTTCAGAGGCTTCAAATTCACGTTTTCGTCTTCTCGTTCTTTGCAATTCTTCCAGTTTTTGCTTTTCTTGATTAGCTTCATCCCACTTGCAGTTCTCCATAAGTCGTTGGTCAGGCCTCCTCCTTGAGTCGGTTGGTGCAACACTGCTGTCAGGCTGATTAAGAGCAAGGGTTAACTCTGTAAAGTAATACATTTTCTCGCAGCCTGGCCTAAAAGAAATTGAGTTTGGAGGTAATTAATACACTGTACATGAATTTTTTATGATAATCAAGAAGACTCAGGTAAAACGTTGACCTTCACATGCTACGAAGCCAATAAAGGGAAACATGAATAAAGCGGTCACCCTTAGGGAATTGCTAACTGACCGTTTTAATACAGGTTTGACAAACCTGAGTGTTCTAAAAAAACTAGAGATGTTGAAGGAGCAAAATCTCTATCCTCTATCTATACGTGTTCCCAGCCGAGGATTGTAAATGGCCGGGAGGTCCAGTCCCCCATCCCTATTCAAAGGGAGTTTTCTTTGTTCGATGGCAATGGCCTCCTTGACGCGGCGCTTGATGATGTAATTTTCGCCAGACAGAACTTAAGGGTTCATGTAATAGTTGTTGCAGATTTGTAAGCAGACTGTCTAGTCTTTAGTGATGTGAAAAAGGCAGCCTAGGCATACTTACACAGCTGGGTTTTTCTTCCACAGTGACACTGGAGGTAGAGTCTGGGCCTGGCTCTTGTGGGGGGTAGAGGGAGGTTGTTTCACTGCAGAGGGCGGGGACCGTGTATAGACAACTTTAGATCCATCCATCTTGTTATCCCATGTACCAGATATGACATATCTAACAACTTTGTTATGGTCCGTGACAACCCCTGTCACCTAAAAAACAACGTACTGTGTTTTTATATTATTCAATACCATCATTCTTCTTTGCTCAGTGAACTGTTATAATTGATTGGCAACACAATAGTCAATAATCAAATAAATGGCAACCACTGCTCATCAGCATTGTACATGTAGTTGTAACCTTTCATTTTTATTGCCTTTTTTAATCGTGAAAGTCACTCTGCTTTTTCAAGAAAAAAAACATTTGCAACATTGTATATTTTTCATTCCAATACAAAGTAAAAAATTGATGGAATATGTTTAATTTCTAACGGTTTAAAACATTAACTGAACGTGTAAAATTGAAAAGGTGCACACAGCAGGCACTTTGATAGCAAATGAATTTGGCAAAAAGGCTACTGTTTAATATGGCATCAAACAAATAAAATGATTAATTCCTTCCTGCCACCTACCTTTCTAGGAGTATCTCTACCAAAATAATTGTAAGCATCATATTTGAGATGACAAACGTCTTTTGTTGTGTGATTTTGAATGTCCATCTCCCCTGACTACAACAAGAAATGCAAACATAATTCAAGATTTTGTCAAACATGACATGCAAAAATGTTGTGCTTCAACAAAACAACACTGAAAAGTTTAGATGCAATTTGAAACAACAAATTTTTTAATGCCCCTTTCAGTGGGGTAAACAATAGAAGCAGGAGTGAATGCAGAGCAGAAGTAAATGGTAGGTAATGTTTTTCAAGGCATTTTTGTCAACTTCTCAAAATTTAGGACTTTCTTAACCGTCCTTTACTGTTCAAAGTCTTTTCTTGGCATCTGATTGCATTTTGTGCAACTTTTCTCTTTTGACTAATAATTAGAGCAACTATTTGAAACTTTTGACGAAGAATATCTGGCAAAATAATTCTACTTAGTCTTGATGAAACAGGACAGAGATTTCCCTGCAAATTCCGTGAATTACTGTACATTAGATCACGTTGTAGACGTGTTGTGAAAAT